CTCCAAAGAGAAACTCTACCCCTCCTTTTTTGTTTTTTTGGGTTTTTTTGAGATAATCACTTCTAACAATTTTGTATATATTCTTCCAGGATTGTTTTCTTTCTTTCTTCCTTCCTTTCTTTCTTTCTTTTTCTTTTTTCTTTTTTTTTAAGTTTATTATTTTTTAGAGAGAGACAGAGTACAAGCAGGGAAGGGGCAGAGAGAGAAGGAGACACAGAATTTGAAGCAGGCTCCAGGCTCTGAGCTGTCAGCACAGAGCCCAATGCAGGGCTTGAACTCACAAACCCTAAGATCATGACCTGAGCCGAAGTCAGACGCTTAACCGACTGACTCACTCAGTCATCCCTCTTTGTTTTTATTTTATTTAATTTTTTAAAACTTTTTTTAATATTTTATTTATTTCTGAGAGAGAAAAAGAGACAGTGTGAGCAGGGGAGGGTCAGAGAGAGGGAGATACAGAATCTGAAGCAGGCTCCAGTCTCCGAGCTAGCTGTCAGCACGGAGCCCGATGCGGGGCTCGAACCCACGACCCGTGAGATCATGACCTGAAGCCGAAGTCAGATGCTTAACCGACTGAGCCACCCAGACGCCCCTATTTTATTTAATTTTTGACAAAAAAAAAAAAAGGAAGAATCCTATATGTGCTTTGCATCTTGTTGCTGTTGTTTGTCTTTGCAATATCTCACGGGCACATTTCCATCCCAGTCCAAGTGTTCATCACAGCAAGAATTAGATACCTGTTCAAACCAAATTACATTAAAAAGGGATTTCTTTTTTGCTCATGTAACTGCAAAGTCCACAGGTAGATTGGTTCCTCATGTGCAGCTGGGTTCAAGTAGGAGGCTAAAGATAGCCTCAAGCATCCTTCTCTCTCTCTTCCATTCTGTTCTCTGCCATCCTCTGCAGCGGCTTCCTTCCCAGGCAGGTACCAGCAGCATAGCAACCCAGGTGGTGGGAGTGAGCCTCTTTCCCAGTACATTCCACCACAATTCCAAGAGTAGCCAATCATCAGCCCAGCTTGCGTTGTGGGCTCAGAGCTAGCGTATCAGCCTCAGCCTCACCACACTAACTGACAGTGAGCAACACTGGATTTCACAAAGGAAAATCAGGGCACTGCCTATTTTCAAAAGACGGAAGGTAAGGTCAGCAGGTCAGCAGGTGCAACAATAGGTGTTTTCTACAATGGGTAGATCTGTCTCACAACATGTGAAAGTTTATTTTTTAACTTGGTGACCGGGTCATAATTTGTTTAATCTATTAATGAGCAGTTCTATTCTTTTTTTAAAAAAATTTACTTATTTATTTTGAGAGAGAGAGAGAGAGTGTGTGTGTGTGCACACAAGAACATGTGCAGAGGAGGGGCAGAGACAGAGGGATAGAGAGAGAATCCCAAGCAGGCCTTGCCCAGCCAGTGTGGAGCCTAACATGGTACTCAAACTCATGAACCGTGAGATCATGGCCTGAGCTGAAATCAAGAGTTAGACGCTTAGCCAACTGAGCCACCCACACGCCCTGAGCAGTTCTATTCTTATCAAATAGTCTAATATATTTTATACTTACATTGTCTGATTTTTACATTTTAAGCACCTTCAATACTCAACTGACTTCATATTTGGTACATAATGTATCACTCCTGACTTTGGCAGTGTCTCACATGGAAATGAATGTAAGATGTGTTATGGCCTGATTTGCATACCCCCCAAAATATGTGCAAGTCCCAACCCCTAGTACCTCAGAAAGTGGCTTTATTTGGAAATAGGGTCCTTACAGTGGTAATCAAGATAAAATGAGGTCATTGGGGTGGACTCTAATCCAGTCTGACTGGTGTCCTCAGGGAAAGGGGAAATTTGGACACAGACAGACACAGGGGGAGGCCACGTAGAGACACAGGGACAAGATAGCCATGTGACTGGCACAATGCATCTACAAGCCAAGAAACACCTTGGATTGCTGGCAAACACTGAAAGCCAGTGGGGACCCTGCTGACACCCTGATCTCACACTTCTAGCCTCCAGAATGGTGTGACACTAAGTTTCTGGTTTTAAGCCACCCAATTTTTGGTACTCTTTTATGGCATCCTTAGGAAACGAAAACGTCAGTGCTTACCTTTCTTGGAGGACTTTACTTCAAAATGTCAGTGAAGTGCAAACAGAAACAACAAAGAGATTGTTCCTTCATACCTAAAAGATTGACAACAATTAGAAAGCCTGGGGATGCCTAAGTAGCTCAGTAGGTTAAGCATCAGACTTTGGCTCAGGTCATGACCTCGCACTCTGTGAGTTCGAGGCCCGTGTCGGGCTCTGTGCTGACAGTTCAGAGCCTGGAGCTGCTTCGGATTCTGTGTCTCCCTCTCTCTCTGCCCCTCCACTGCTTGCACTCTGTCTCTCTTTCTCAAAAATAAATAATCATTAATTTTTTTTTTTTTTAATTAGAAAGCTGGGTAAGCCAGGAGTTGATGGGGATGTGGGAACAGACACATGAAATTCCATGCACCAAGGCAGAAGCATGGCTGGAACAGCCATTCTGGAGGGTGATCTGGCAGCACTCAATCCAATAAAGAATAGGCATATCCCTTCTCCTGCTGGGTACAGAAATTCCAAAGAATTTCCACAAAGGTCCACAACTGGGTGTTCATGGAGGTTTGTTGTGTCACTAGTGGTGGTGAGAAATTTGAAGTAGTCCGTGTGCCCATGCCCGGGTGAGTGGACGCAAAGGTAAAATGTGGTGGATATACACCATTAGAAAACAACCGGTTATATATACTTAAGCAACATGGATGGATTTTGGAAACATGGTACTGGATTTGGAAAAACAACAACCAGAATTTATGTCAATGTGAAATACACACAACTGACACAGCCAGGGTTGAGAACCCGCTGTACACAGACGCCACAACAGAACACCAGGAGACATATCTTTTCAGCACAAATAGCAACAAAGAGGCAGGGTAAACAATTTGACTCCTTGTATGGCTCACAGTATGATTTATTTTGGTTGGATTTGAAAAGTGACATCTATAAGATTTATCAGAAATCTCCCTTGTTTCTTTTATCAAAGTTTGTCTGTATATCCATGTATGTTTCATTTGCAGTTATTTAGAAGAAAAATTACATCATTTAAACTGAAGTGGTGAGAAATTTTAGTTTTTTATTACACGGGTGTGTGGATGATGCTGGGTTTACAGACAAATGATCTCTAGGGAAAACAATATCCTTGACTTTTAAAACTGGAACCATGCACATGTGATTCATTCACAGTTTAATGTTTGGCTTTGTCATTTGCCATTTACATTTGGAAAAATATTTGAAAGAAAGTAATCAATTCTTATTGCTTTGATTAGAACACTGTCACCTTTGAACCTTACATTTGCCTGGTTTTCATTCTTTCCTTAAATTACTTTTATTTAGTTTCAGAGATCATGCCCCCTTACCCCACCTGAGAGAGAGAGGGAGAGAGAGAATCTCAAGCAGGATCTGTGCTGTCAGCATAGAGCCCAATGTGGGGCTTGACCTTATGAACTGTGAGATCATGAATGGAGCTAAAGTTGAGTCAGATGCTTAACTGACTGAGCCACCGAGGTGCCTCAATCAGAATCTACTTTCAAAAACAAATACCCTGGTGATTCTTAGGCACTTTAAAGTTTTAGAGGCATTAAAGCATGCGTAATATTCAAATCCTAGCTCTGTCACTTATTGGCTATGTGACCTTGAATAAATTATTCAACTTCTCTGTGCCTCAAATTCCTCATTTGGAATAATGAATGCAGAATAATAATAGTAAAGTGAGGATAATAATAGTACCTACCATCTATAGAGTTGTGAGGATTTCCTATGATACTGCATTAAAATGTTTAGAACAGGGGCGCCTGAGTGGCACAGTCTGTTAAGCGTCTGACTTCAGTTCAGGTCATGATCTCTCTGCCTGTGGGTTCAAGCCCCGCATCGGGATCTGTGCTGACAGCTAGCTCAGAGCCTGGAGCTTGATTCAGATTCTGTGTCTCCCTCTCTCTCTGACCCTTCCCTCCTTACACTGTCTCCCTCTCTCTCTCAGAAATAAATGTAAAAAACATTAAAAAAATAAAATAAAATGTTTAGAACAGTGCCTGACTCATAGTAAATGCACAACAAATAATGTTAGTTATTATTAATCACCTTTTCTTTGTAAGTAATACTCCTTGATCTCCTCTATCCATCATTTTAATTAATGGTTCTCAGTTGCCTCTCTAGCATGCTGCAGGCTAGTCCCAGCAGAATCAACTGGAAGATATTTTTAAAAATATTTTTATTTATTTCTAGGAGAGAGAGAGAGAGAGAGAGAGCGTGAGCAGGGGAGGGTCAGAGAGAGAGGGTGATACAGACTCTGAAATTGGCTCCAGGCTCTGAGCTGGCAGTCAGCACAGAGCCCGACGCGGGGCTCGAACCCACAAACCACGAGATCATGACCTAAGCGAAAGTCGGACGCTTAACTTACTAAGCCACCCAGGCGCCCCTCAACTGGAAGATTTAAAAAGTGTTATGGCTCCCTGTCTCATTTCTGAAGATTCTGATTCAGTAGGTTTAGTGAGGGATTCCACAGAATCTATATTTTTAAAGTCCCCTGAGGTGATCTAATGCTCAAAATCTTTGGTTGGAAATCACTGCTTTAAATATTGGTGCATTTAAATGTGAACATCCTACTAATTCACTGCTATGACATAACGAACTGATAACTATAGCCCAGATTGTTTGCCAAACTTCACACCAATGTATCTGGCCACCTCCCACTTGGGTATCTTATAGACAGTGTCAAATCCCCATGTCCAAAACCGAGCCCTCCATCAGATGTCTCCCCTCCTCCACCATCTTCTCTGTCAGTCAGTGGTTCTACCATTGATACAATCACCAAGCCCAGAAACCCGGGGGTCATTCCTGTCCTCTTCCTCTTTAACTTAATATTTTTAAAACTGATTCAAGAGTTTCTGTGCTCACTCTGGTGGCAGGAGCAGCAGATGTGCCCAGAACATGCAGAATGAGGCCAACCAGTTGGTGGACCCACACACGGCACGGAAATGCTCCCTCAGCAACAGCATCATGGGCGCCGAGGACCACGCGTCCATCCAGAGGAACATGGCAGAGTGCGACAAGGTAACGGGCAGGTTCAACAGCCAGTTTAAAACCTATGCTATCTGTGGGGCCATTTGCAGGATGGGTGAGTCAGGTGACTCCATCCTCCGACTGGCCAAGGCCAATGACATCATTTCAAAGAACTTCTGACTGGAGAGGATAATGGATGTGGAATATTTGCCGTTAAAAAAAAAAAAAAAAAACAGGAAAAGCCCAAAGAGAGAGAAGTGAGGGGTGGAGGCAGGGAGAGGGAGGGAGAGGGAGGGAGGAAGGAAGGTTGATTCAAGAGCCAAGTACTTTCTGAGATGGAAGCAGGTTTCCAGGTATCCAGAAGCCAGAAGTTTGCAGGCTGGAAATCTAAAGTATTATTACCTTCAGGCCAGTTTCCCTATATCAACTTAAAATTGACCAAGAGACAAACACAGCATTTACCTATTTGTCTACGTAGGAAATGAGAATTTTCACGTTCTGACAACGTTACATCATAGAATTTAAAAAGCTTGCTGACCCAGGATATGAAGCCATAGGAAATTAGTCCTGGCTGCATGTTTACATACTCTGAAAATTCTGTCCACTGTTTTTCTCAGTGTTCACTCCTGCAGCTTTTTCATATGCCTTTTTGATAACCCTTACCACACCACCGTTATTTGCCTGTTTCACCCACAATACTGTTCCTTGCAAGAAAAGGGACCCCCCCCAATCACATGTTCACATCAACAGTGTCATGTATACTAGGTTAAAAAATGTTTAGTTATATAACTAAAGCAATGTGTGTCTATAATAGAAAAGTGTTCCAATATTCCTTGAAAGGGCCCTTAATAGATGCAATTAGAAACTGCAGACTCATCAAAACATCTACCTGCTTACCTGCATTGGTGCCCGTAGATTCTGTCTTGCCTCCTGGTACTCGAGATCTTCTGCCTGAGCTCCATCGAGGACCAGCCCTGCACTTGTGAAGTAGATCCGATCCTCTCTCATTTACTCAAGGACATCCCTCAGCAATCCTACCCATTCTGTCCCACATCCTTGGTTTGCCTTCACTGTTGAGTAACTTCCCATCAGTTTATAAATGCCCTATAATTCTCATACCTTTAACAACAGACTCTACAAAACTTCTCTTGACCCCATCCTCCCCATTTATTGGCTCATTTACGGCAAAACCCCTTGAAAGAATTGTCTATAATTCTGTTTCCAATTCCTGTCCTCCTAAGCTCTCTCAGACCTACTGCAAGCACGTTTTTACCCGTACTTTTCCATGGCGAATGGTTTTGTAAACTCCCCATGACCACCATGTTACTAAACTGATTTTTCATTTTTCAGTCCTTGCATTAGTTGATCTAAAACATTGGACACAGTTGATCACTTCTTATTTAAAAGCTTTCTTCACTTGGTTCCAAAATATCTCACTTTTACATTTTTTCTTTTATTGGCCTCTCTTTCCCAGTCCCTTTTCTTGACCCCTTCTCATCTCTGTGCCTTCTAAATTTTGGGGTGCATTTGGATTCAGATCTTGGACATCGCAATGGTCACTTCCTTGGTAATCTCATCCCGGTTTCTAGGTTTTAAATACTCTCTCTACTCTGGTAACATCCAACTTTAGATTTCTAGTACAGCCCTCTTCCTCTGGCACCCTCAACTCCTACATCTGTGTACGTATACCTAATTGGCATCTCAGGCTATACATTCACCAAACCAAATCCTGGCCTCCAACTCTACAGCAGGAAAAAAGAACCTCTTATTTTCAATCTTCTCCATCTCACTTGAAGGCTGTCTCTCTTTCCAGTTAATTAGGCTAAAATCTTTGAAGGCACTTTGTCTCCTTTTCATCTAACACTCTATGCACAATCTCTTGGAAATCCTATCAGTTCTATTTTCAAAGCATATCTATAATCTGATCCCTTCTCCCCAGACCCACCACTACCACCCTTGCCCACACCACCCATCCTCTCTTTCCTGAATTCTCACATGAGTCTTCTAACTGATATCCCTATATTGCTTCATTTTAGTCTTAACAGAGCAGCCATAGTGATCTTTGTAAAACCCTATTCAGGTGTTACTCCTCAGAATCCTCCAGTGGCTTCTCATTGCTCTCCAACAAAGGACAAAGTCCTTACAATGGCATATAAGGCCCTGTGATCTTTCTCCACTTCCCTTCCAGATGTCATATTCTTCTACTGTTTCCCTTACCACATGCCAGCAACACTGCTCTTGCATTCTCTGAAGCAGGCCAGGAGGAGCCCATCTTAGGGTCTCTGTAAGTGTCCCCTCCTCTGGGTGAGACATCTGAGTGCCCTTGCATATCTGCATAATTCAGTCTCTCATCTACTTCAGATCTTTGGTGTAATGTCATCTTCTTCATGAGCTTTTCTTTCTTTTTCTTTTTTTTAATTAAAAAAATTTTTTTTTAATTTCTGAGATCAGATTTGAATTTCAGAGAAACCACTATCAGCTGTGTATGTAACAGATTAAATTTGAGGCAAGCTGAGCAGCTACATTAATTGAGCTGTTTTGATAGTTTAACGAAGAAAAGATGAAGACTTGAACTAGGATGGTTGCAGTGGTGACAAAGACAGGAGAGAGGATTTCTAAAATAATGAAAAACTATTTTTAGGGGCGCCTGGATGGCATAGTCAATGAAGCATCTGACTCTTGATTTGGGCTTGGGTCATGATCTCAATGTTGGCGAGACAGAGCCCCACATCAGGCTCTGCGCTGACAGCGTGGAGCCTGCTAGGGATTCTCCCACTCTATCTCTCTCTACGCCTCCCCCACTCACACTCTTTCTCTCTCTCAAAATAAATAAATAGACATTGTTAAATGTATTTTATTACATTATTCAACTTTATTAATTAGACATTATTATTTTCTAATATTTTAATTTTTTAAATAATCTCCACATTCAATGTGGGGCTCAAACTCACAACTCCAAGATCAAGAGTCACATGCTATACCAACCAAGCCTGCTAGGCACCCTTTAGTTAGGCATTATGAACTAAATAGGAAAGTTAAAGAAGATCTGATCTTATTTGGTTTGGTGAATGTATAGCCTGAGATGCCAATTAGGTATACGTACACAGATGTAGGAGTTGAGGGTGCCAGAGGAAGAGGGCTGTACTAGAAATCTAAAGTTGGATGTTACCAGAGTAGAGAGAGTATTTAAAACCTAGAAACCGGGATGAGATTACCAAGGAAGTGACCATTGCGATGTCCAAGATCTGAATCCAAATGCACCCCAAAATTTAGAAGGCACAGAGATGAGAAGGGGCCAAGAAAAGGGACTGGGAAAGAGAGGCCAATAAAAGAAAAAATGTAAAAGTGAGATATTTTGGAACCAAGTGAAGAAAGCATTTAAATAAGAAGTGATCAACTGTGTCCAATGATTTAGATCAACTAATGCAAGGACTGAAAAATGAAAAATCAGTTTAGTAACATGGTGGTCATGGGGAGTTTACAAAACCATTCGCCATGGAAAAGTACGGGTAAAAACGTGCTTGCAGTAGGTCTGAGAGAGCTTAGGAGGACAGGAATTGGAAACAGAATTATAGACAATTCTTTCAAGGGGTTTTGCCGTAAATGAGCCAATAAATGGGGAGGATGGGGTCAAGAGAAGTTTTGTAGAGTCTGTTGTTAAAGGTATGAGAATTATAGGGCATTTATAAACTGATGGGAAGTTACTCAACAGTGAAGGCAAACCAAGGATGTGGGACAGAATGGGTAGGATTGCTGAGGGATGTCCTTGAGTAAATGAGAGAGGATCGGATCTACTTCACAAGTGCAGGGCTGGTCCTCGATGGAGCTCAGGCAGAAGATCTCGAGTACCAGGAGGCAAGACAGAATCTACGGGCACCAATGCAGGTAAGCAGGTAGATGTTTTGATGAGTCTGCAGTTTCTAATTGCATCTATTAAGGGCCCTTTCAAGGAATATTGGAACACTTTTCTATTATAGACACACATTGCTTTAGTTATATAACTAAACATTTTTTAACCTAGTATACATGACACTGTTGATGTGAACATGTGATTGGGGGGGTCCCTTTTCTTGCAAGGAACAGTATTGTGGGTGAAACAGGCAAATAACGGTGGTGTGGTAAGGGTTATCAAAAAGGCATATGAAAAAGCTGCAGGAGTGAACACTGAGAAAAACAGTGGACAGAATTTTCAGAGTATGTAAACATGCAGCCAGGACTAATTTCCTATGGCTTCATATCCTGGGTCAGCAAGCTTTTTAAATTCTATGATGTAACGTTGTCAGAACGTGAAAATTCTCATTTCCTACGTAGACAAATAGGTAAATGCTGTGTTTGTCTCTTGGTCAATTTTAAGTTGATATAGGGAAACTGGCCTGAAGGTAATAATACTTTAGATTTCCAGCCTGCAAACTTCTGGCTTCTGGATACCTGGAAACCTGCTTCCATCTCAGAAAGTACTTGGCTCTTGAATCAACCTTCCTTCCTCCCTCCCTCTCCCTCCCTCTCCCTGCCTCCACCCCTCACTTCTCTCTCTTTGGGCTTTTCCTGTTTTTTTTTTTTTTTTTTAACGGCAAATATTCCACATCCATTATCCTCTCCAGTCAGAAGTTCTTTGAAATGATGTCATTGGCCTTGGCCAGTCGGAGGATGGAGTCACCAGACTCACCCATCCTGCAAATGGCCCCACAGATAGCATAGGTATTAAACTGGCTGTTGAACCTGCCCGTTACCTTGTCGCACTCAGCCATGTTCCTCTGGATGGACGCGTGGTCCTCGGCGCCCATGATGCTGTTGCTGAGGGAGCATTTCCGTGCCGTGTGAGGGTCCACCAACTGGTTGGCCTCATTCTGCATGTTCTGGGCACATCTGCTGCTCCTGCCACCAGAGTGAGCACAGAAACTCTTGAATCAGTTTTAAAAACATTGTTTTCCATGTGATACTTTTTCGCAAGAGGCGCTCATGAAAAATTACATATTTACGGTGGCTTAAATTTTAAACATTGGGTGGGAGTTCTAAAAGGATATATTAGTTTAAACTTTCAGAGAACAATATTTTAAGACCCTAGGAGTCATTATTATAAAACGAATTGTTCTGTGTTTTTCCAATCTCATACAAAATAACTTTTAAAACTGAGAGTGGCATGTAGGCCCCAGCTGCAAAAATTCAAAATAAAAAAAAAAAAATCAAAATCAGCTACATGCAGCTGCATTCTGTTTCCCCTCATTCGTCTAACAGCTTTTA